GGTGTTTGAATTCTTACTCTAATTATAGTTTCTCATCGCCTCTTTCCCCAATTCCTATTTTCAGGTTATAGTAGTCCTTCAGGGATCTTTAAACTGCATCTTAAAGAAAGATGGGCTATTTTGTGATTGCTTGGTCTTTCTTCTCATGAGGGAAGAAACATGTTGTCATATTGCAGTTGAGAAAAATTGGCTGCAAAAAGTATAGCATTCATATCTACTCTCTACCTTATAACTGATGAAGAAATAAATGGAAATGTAAAAAGGGGTTAGGAGAGTCAGTAAAATGGAAATCGGGGGTACTAACATGCATGTTCTCTTTCTGTATCACTCTATTCCCTCTCTCTCTAATTTAAATCACTAAACTTGATGCCAGGTTAAAAAAAATGAGGAATTAAAATTAACAAATTCAGGATACATCAAATGTCATTAAATCTAGCAGAATTTTTTTTGAATCTGTCAGATCAAAGAAATCATATATCCAGGATAAAGATGGAATATCAATTGACAGGAACCTAGGAAGCTGGCACTTATTCTGAGACACATGAATCTAAAAATCCAATAATGCCTTATCCTATGAAAACATGGGAAGCTAGAAAGGTATTAGGAAAACCAACAAAAACCCTCATCCCCCTATTTGGAATTACTCCCACATAAGAATTAATTAACAAAATACTTTTAGCACATTTAGTTTAAATATATTGAATCATTTCTTATATCAAAATTGTTGTTATTGTTATTATTGTTCATTGGAAGCAAAGTTATGATCCTGCCTAATTTAAAGAAGAGTAGAATGAAAGAAAATGGTCAATAATAATATTAAAGTTTTGTTGGGGTTTTTTAAAGGGATCATCCCTTGGTCACTGTCACACCATCTACCCCCTTCAAAAAGAAGGTTAAGAAACTTTGGATTAGTGCTTAATACTTCAATCACATCATCAGTAGAGTAATAGCATTTTAGTTTTCTAATTTATCCATGATGAATAAGTTGTACCTTATCTTTTTCATAATAAAAGAGAAAATAAATTTAGGGGATTTAATTACTTAATAAATTTACCAACGTCCTACAGTTTTTTTTATTTAGCAAAGTGTTATAATACTTACCAGTTCAGAAGATGATAGGACCGTAGATTTAAAGCTGAAAGGAACCTTGGGGTCATCCAGTCCAGCTCTCTCATTTTACAGATGAGTAAACTGAAGCCCAGAGTAATTCCCCACATGGCTGTGATGATGAAGCATAATTATATATGCCATTTTCTGAAAAGATCCTGGACTTCAATATGGTCTAGGCTGGTACTTAATGAATTGGGATGAGAATCAAAATATCTGTCTGTACTCCATTTTTAACTGCCAAAAACCTTTTTTTGTTGTGTACCTCCTGCTTTTCACCACAGAGCAGAGATAATGATAGCTCCCCCTTGGTTCACAAACACAAAAATTAGAAGATTAATTTGATCCAGGATATTCCCCCACCCTCATTTCAAAAGAAGCAAATTGACCTGCATAACATCATATGGCTCCAGATGAGGTGGGGCGGTCTGTAGGGGGTGGGAGGAAGACTTCCCTCATGCATTCAGGAGCTCAGATGCAGCACACATTCTCAAAACGCCAAAGCTTTGTTTATGGCCATGGCTAAGATCAAGACAAGGCAGAGCCGGAGAGGGCTTCATTTATAATGGCATGTCCCCTGCCCTTTCTTCATCTCCTTCCCTCACTTTCCTAGTAGAGCCCACCTTTCTACACATTGAACATTAATTCTTAGAATGAGGTCTGTGGAGCTTCATTTGGAATCAACAGCAACCAGGCTTTTGTGGTAGGGAACAGTTCAGTTCAGCATTCATCAAGTCCCATCATGAGCAAAGCATTATGATAGGTGCTGAGAATCTGGACAAAAAATGAAACAGGTCTTTCTCTTGGGGATCTTTGTGCTTATTGTAAACAAACACCAGGCTATCTCCCTGAGAAAATGTTAACAGGAAGGAGTAGGTTTTCTCTCGTTTATCCTATGAAACACCAAGTGACTTAACTTAAGGGATGAACTAAATTAAGCTAAAATTGCAACTACAAAAGTATTTTGAGTTCCTTGGAGTTCATGACTGTGTCATAATTTACCTGTATAAGTAATGGAGCTAGAATTAGAGCTCACCTCCACAATAACCTCTCAGTGGTGCTTAATGCGGCAGTGGCAGCTTTCTGGTTCAGTGGCTAGAGTACTAGGCCTGGAGTCTGGAAGATCTGAGTTCAAATCCAGCCTCAGACACTTACTAGCCGTATGACCCTGGCAAGTCACTTAACCTCTGTTTGCCTTAATCCACTAGAGAAGGAAATGACACTCCATGGCAAACCCCTCCAGTTTCTTTGCTAAGAAAACCCCATGGACAGTATTAGCATGCTATGGTCCACAGGGTCAGGCGAAGTCAGACAAAATTGAACAAGTGCTTAAGGTATTAAATCATGGCAGTTTTCCAGTCCTTTCAGTGATATCAGTGGCTTGGGATTTAATATGCTTCATGCAAATATTTTTAGTCTTTTGTGAAACTATCATAGATTCTTCTTAGGATTCTAGATGGAAAAAAAACTTGAAGACATAAGGTGAATATCATTTAGGGGAAAAGGGCACATATCAATAAAATAACAATTTGACTTGTAGAAAAATAAATCTATGTAGATTAATACTTGTTCTCAAAATTGCATACTAGATTGTAATTCAATCAAGGAGTAGGGGTCTTCTGACGTTTATGAACATTTATGAATAGTATAAGAACTCTGAGATTAAATTTTAGCCTTACTATTCAATTTGGGATCATGTATTATTGTTATTCATTAATATATAAAGACAACAATTATATCCAGTAAAATCCCCAATTTAATTTGGCTGTAATTTGTCTTAGACAGTGGCATACACACTCTGATCTTTCTGTACATCTCAGATTCATATCACTCATAGCCTCTGTCATTTTAAGTCCAGAAAGAGTAATATTTTGCATTCTAGCCTTCGGATGTGCTGGGTCAACTTAGGGACCATTTATCCTGTTACAGCCTGACAACATTTGAACTTTAACTCTGAATTATTTACTTTTTTTGAATATATGCTCATTAAAATTTGAAATGAAAAAATTATTTTTATTTTTCATATTAAGCACCACAAAATACCAGTAGCACTAAACATAGATAATGGTAGCTGTAACATAGGCTAAAGAGAATTATTGGATCTATAATGGAGGATTTAATAGGAAATTAACTGATCTGGTTCTTTCTCTCCCTGCGGGGAAGGAGACAACAAGCTTATATTAGAGTAGGAAACTATAATTAAACAAAACCTAAGTCATTTTAAAGACCAGTGTCTTTCTACATCATGACATAAGAGACTTGGAAGGGATCGTGTAATATAACATCAGGATCGTGTAATATAACTCCTTTTTCTAACGAAGAAATAGAGGCCCTAAGAAGTAAAATGACTTGTCCAAAGTCATAAAGAAAAGAAGGCCTAAAGATAGACATAACTATCCCCTGTGAATCATATATGCCCTGGTTATCCTATTGAAAGATCTCATTAAAATTATTTCTGGAAACATTTTGGAAATATTTTCACATTGGCAGACATTTCAATTCAGACTTCACATTTTTATCATGAATATTCTTTTAAAGGCCTTAGTCCTCTGTAGAATTGGTCATGTGACATTTATTATAAAGTACATTTCTCTGAGGAATTCTTATTGCTGTTGATGGAGCACTCATCCAGCAAGTTTTCTAGGAAGTGCTTTCTCCTGGATTGCTCATTCCTCTGGTCTAGTCCTGTTGTTCTTCTTTTAAATAAATCTTTCGCTTGAATTCTTCTAACATAGTTTTATGACAGAGCTTCTGAAATAGCTATCTATTTGTTTGTTTTTCAACACCTTTTATTGGTTTGCTAAGGTGCCTTGGGTCTTCTGTTACCTTAATTATATCCTTTTAAGGAAGAGCCTAACAAGAATTAATGACCAAGTCAGCCTTCAGGTTGACTGATGATAGACTTGAGAGACAACAGGAGGAAAAACAACCCTCTGCCCCTGTAGCATTTATATGGCACTTTATACTTTACAAAGTGCTTTACAAATATTATTCGCAACACCTCTAGGAGGTAAGTACTATTATTATCCCATTTTTCAGATGAAGAAACCAAGGTGAGGAGAAATTAAGTGACTTGTTCATGGTCATACAGCTAGTAAGTATGTGTCTGGTGCTAGATTTTAACTTTGGTCTTCCTGTTTCCAGGTCTGGCAGTCTATCCCCTGCACCACCTAGCTGACTTTTATCCTGATATCTGAAATTCCGCCATTAAATATTTATTCATTTGAGTTAAGCATTACCTTCTTTCTTTTAAAAATGTAAGTACTACTGTGTAGGACAACACAGTAAGTTTCTTACCTTGATGCGTATCATTTATCAGATCACTTATTCAGATCAATAGGAGAGGAGGAAGGCCTATCTGGATAAAAAGTTTAGTAGCCGGGGGAGGAAGGAATACAGACAGGGAGAAATAAGATGCCAAAGACAATGTTCCTAACTACAGCTGTTCTTGGGGCTATTGTCTTCTTCCAGGTTTCCTGTATGGCTCATCTTAACCTTAGAAAAGACGAAATTAATCAAAGTTTGACCCATATCAAGGTTTGATGCTTTCTCTTTCTTTGTCTAGTCAATTAATCATTAATGACATGGTGATGCTTTCTCATATTTTACATCATACTTGTGATAGAGATCAGAGTATCAGAATCCACATAGAAAATGGCGGTGCTCTCTATGACAATGAGTGCCCTGTCAGTCACCATAGCAGGAGGCCTGCCCCTTTGGAAGCTCCTTCCCTGAAGCAGCATTCTCTGTTCTCTTTGTGTTACAGGTAACAAACTACATGGGCTCCTACTGCTTGACCAGATTCCCTGCTGGAGCCAGGCTTGCTTTTCTTCTTTTTGCCATATCATTTGCTTTATTTTTAACGGTTTCATTTTTCCTTTTGTTTTTTTCAGCTCAACAGTCAATCGCTGATTTGTCCCTGAAGGGTCTCATCCCCTCCTCTTCTGTAAGTAAATCTGTTTTATCACCTTTCAGGGAAGACTCCGATTTGAAAAATGATCATTCTTTTTCATCTTGTTTATCAGTTGACTTTGCTGAAGGTTCATAACATAATACTGGGTCTATTTATCATTTTCTTTACTTTTGAAGGTGACGCTGTTGACCAGCATTGCTGTCCATGAGTCTAGTTGGAAAGACCTCCATTTTGTCTTTTGGGCTGGTAGCAGTAGCTATTTGCAAAACCTGTTGCTTTTTAGGAATGCGGTTGACATTGCTCAGGAACTGATAACAGTTTTGATTTTTGTCCTGCTATACCAATCAATCAACAAGTATTCACTGGGCCCCACTGAAGTCCTAAGCACTCTGTCCAGCATTCATTAATTTTAACTTCAGGCCAAAGTTTGCAACTCTTTACCCCAGGATTCTTAATACCTATCAGCAGTTGGTATAATAACTATTAAAAATATACTTTGATGAAAAAAGCAGAAAGCCCCCCAAAACTCCTTAGGACTGTGTATCATATTTGCAGTCTCTCTCTCTCTCTCTCTCTCTCTCTCTCTCTCTCTCTCTCTCTCTCCCCCTCTCTCCTCCTCTCCCCCTCCCTCCCTCCCTCTCTCTCTCTCTTTCTGTCTCTCTCTCTCTGTCTTTTTTTCTATGTCTCTCTCTCTCTCTTAAAAAAATTGGATTTCAGTTAGAAATTATAAGAAAGCATTTTCATGATTTAAGCCCTAATCTAAGCACCCCTGAATAGGACTGTGCTGACTTTCACTTTTAACTGCCTGAATAGTAAGAAGAGTCTCTCTAAGGTCATTGGTAGGAGCATTGGAGCCCCAGGAATCCTGCCATTCAGCTGTAAACCCTAGCCCCCTGGGTAAGAAGTCTTCCTGCTGGTGATGACACCCACTCAGATAAGCCTGCTGGGTTAAGCGGCAGTCAGCATCCTTCTGATTGTGCCTCTGTCTCTCCTGTGGCCACTCTCCCTGGTCCACAACAATCAAAAGCTTTATTCCATTTCCAGCCCTGGGGTATTCCTTATGCTATAGCCATTTGCACAAAAAGAGAGTCCTTCTGGCCCTTTCTGCAAATGTTCCTTGCAGATGCATGCAGACAGATCGAGGGAAGTAGAAGTCTCCAAAGAATATGCAGTGGGTGAAGCCTAATCTGACATTTATTTGACAGAGAAAGGAGATTGATTAAAGTCCCATAAGACCTGTGCCATGTATTATGCATTTATACAGCAGGGGTGGTTCCTACCTGCCCCTGACAAGTCTTGTTATTCTCACTTGTAGTGCTGATAGAGAGGGTCTCTTAATGCTTTGGAGGGTGTGCATGTGCATGTTTACAGTTAACACTCAGTGCCTCAGCCTTATTCCCTTTGGGTTACCTAGTGTTGCATATTGCTTATATTCTTACTGGCAAATCATTTTTTGTCACTGTTCTTTTATGGAAAAACAGTTCACGTAATAGCTTTGTGTTAGACGAGGCATTAATCCTCCCATCACTAGGCATGAGTCAGCATGGTGCTCTCCTGGCTACACTGCCTTGGTTAATTATGACGTCAGGGCTCCAGGGCAGCCTCGCACACATGAGCCACCGGCGCTGGGGTCTGGAGACCTATAACCGAAAAGACAAAATTGAGGACGAGGATTTTGAAGGGAAAGCATAGTTGAAAGATCCACTCTGAAATTCTTTCTACCTTGCATCAGTTTCTAGTAGGGGCAGAGCCAGATCGAGCTTTACCTTCCAAGCATGTGAAAAGGGAAATGGGGAGGAGAATGAGGAAGGAAGAGAGCAGTAGCCTATAGAAAACTTGCAGCCTTTCCACCCCACTCCCCTCCCCAAGGTGGGCTTTTTGATCATTTAGATAGTTCCAAAGCATGAGTCTATTCCTTTTTCAGTGGGGTAAATATAATCCAGATGTTCTTTTGGGTTTCTGATAGCACTACTGTACACAAGTGCCCCATATAAATAGCTGATAACTGCAATGATGTCACCCTAGTGCCTCATCCAAAACAGAAGAAAGTGCCTTGGGAACTGGTCAGAAAACTAGGCTCTTAAGTGTTCCTAACTTGCCTTTCATTCACAGTAAGATAACATCAGCTCCTTCTGCCTCTTTCCTCTCTTCTTTGAATGAGCCTCTCTATCCTAGGCACCTGTCCCAGGCCTTGCATGTAGTCCAGGATTGAATTCCAGATTTGGACTCTGACTTTTAATTAGGCCTGACTATGTGCTAAAATCTCCAGGTACCTTTTCTGTTCCATTGCTCTGATCCCAAGTGGAATTTCCTTTGTCTTTCCTTTTTAGCCATAGACAAAGAAAAGACAACTCTGTAACAACAGTAGCTTTCAGCTCTTAAAGGCTTATAAACCACTTTACATATATTAGCTTTTTTGGTCCTCAGAACATCCCTTCGAGGATGAGGATGATAAGAACAGCTCACATGTATAGAGTGATTTATAATTTATAAAGTACTTGCCTATAAAAATCCCATGAATTAGTTCAAGTATTATTTGCCTCACTTTACAGATGAGAAAAGTTAAGACTCAGATAGGTAAAGCAGCTCACCTGCTGGTGTATAGCAAGTGTCAGACCTAGGACTCAAACCAGATATCTTGGCTTCCCAACTGCTGGTGCACTCCTGCCCAAACTACGCTGCATCTCACTCACTGGGGTGGTGTAGATGCATGTACATGTGTTTGTTGATTCTATATTTATGCTGTATGTATTTTTATATATACTCGTTCTTTCCCCTTATTATGAGTAGGAATTGTTTCATTCTTTATACATGTACTCCCAACACCTAGCGCAAGGCCTGGCCCATAGTAGGTGCTTGTTGATTGATTGTTCCAGTAGTGAAAAAGAATGCTAGACTTTGAGAAAGATGAAACCTGGGTTCAAATCCTGCCTCTGATGCTAACTTAGCTGGGTGACCATGAGTATGCCACTTTATCTCCTCAGCCTCAGTTTCCTCTCCTGTAAAATAGGGATAACAATAACTGATGTATCTATCATATAGGATTTGTTGTGAGAGTCCAGTGAGAAAATATACAAAGTGTTTTGCATATCTTAAAACATTATATAAATGTCAATTATTGTTATTCTACTATACTCTGCTGCCAAATCTCTCACTAGTCATGCTGCCCTAAAGCAGATGACTTGAACATTTAGTTTGTGCAGCCCACCCCTTTCTATGTGTGGAATTTCTACAGCCTAGATTTATTTATTTGGGCTCTGATCATCACCTTTCAGGATGAGGAAAGTAACATGAAAATATTCTTAAGTGAAGAAATGAAAAGGATGATTCCCACTACAATGGGATTCTCCATCATACACACACACACACACACACACACACACACAGCATCCCCAGTTTCACCCAGCATGTGTTCCTCCCTCCTGCTGTCACCTCTGTCAATAACGAGGCCAACGACAACAGGCAACAAACAACCTACACTGTTGTAACTACTGTTGCTACAGTATTTTTGGGCCTCTGGCTCTCTTTCTTTCAGTACCAAGTGCTTGTAACAAGCTTCCAAAAACCTTAAAGACAGCTCCTGCTCTCTTGCTATACTGCTACTGGTTTGGCTTGGTTTGTTTTTATCACCCACCTCTGCTTTGCAGTAATATGCATTCAGTGCCTTGTGGATATGCTATTCAGCTAAGTATTATCCCAAAAGTCACAGCCTTTATTCTCTAAGACAGCAGTGTCAAACTCAAAAAGAAATGGGGGCCCCTAAATGATACATAAAAATCCCTGGGGGGACATGATGTTGACTTAGAAAAACACATATTAATATTACCTGTGTTTTTATGTATCTTTATTTATTTTGTTAAATGTTTCCCAATTATATATTAATCTAGTATGGGCCACAGAACTAGGCCTCATGCTTGCCACCTCGGCTGTCAGAGATGAATTGCTGATATGTCTCCATGACTGCCTGATCAGAAAGGATATTAAGAAATGGTTGTCTCTGCTCCTGAGTTGTTGGTCCTCCTGAAAGGTGAATATTGCATAATGGGAGATTGTAACATTTGGACCAGAATGGAATCAGGGAAAAGAGAGTTTCCCCCATCTCTTTTCTTGCTCTTAAACAGCAGCCATCTTTATTCACATGTAACGGAGCGTAATCTCTTAATATTGTTCCCCTACAGTCAATTACTCCCTAAATTTTCCATAATTTCCCCATTGCTGTCTTTTTTAGAGCAAAAGTTCCACACCACCAAACTGACTCTCAACTTGTACACAGTCATGAGTTGACAAAAATTCAAAAATATTCATTTCTTCTCACTCTATCAGGGTTCATCATAAATGTGCTTTTTTCTAGTTTACTTTGAGCTGACAAGACAATGTTAAGAAAATTCTCAATAGCTTATGCCACATTTACCATATTCTTTTTTGCATGTGTGTGTTGGGGGTGGAGAGAGGGAAGTTAGCGTGTGTGATTTCTTTTTTCTTGAAGGAGCCATTCCTTGGCTCTCTAAAAAATGGACTTAGTAGATGAACAAGAGGACTAGTAGGAACCTAATGTAGACCTAGGTTTTCCTAGTGACCCTAGTGCAGTTACATAGCCTGGTAATCAGATGGTCAATTATATGTTTGTCAAAACACAGTGGGCCAAATTCCAGGCCGCCAGCTTTGGTGGCCCAGCTTCTGCCAACCAAATGTCATCTGGGAACACGCAACACTGGGCACTGTGAAAGAGTTTGAAATAGACCATGCTGAAGCCAACCCACTGCCAGTCTTACAACACCAATATGGCATGCACAGCCGGGCCCCATATTTCTGAGCTTAGGAATTCACTGTACCAGACACATGGGGTCAGATGGGTTTATGTTTTCTAGGCCAACATTCCCGGCTTTGAATGTTGTGATTTAATAATTTCTAAGGGTTTTAATAATCTCATATAGAGATCTCATTAGAATAAGGTTCTAATAATCTTAATAATTTCTAAGGGTTTTTTCCATGTTATATCTCTGTGGATACAACCCTGGTCACGATGGTTAGGA